ACTGTGTTCAAATTGCCAAGAATAAAGTTGATTTAGGGCTACAGAAGACAAAACCCTAAAAGGTTGAAAACAAACTGAAGAAAAATCACTTTCATTTGTCGTTTTTTTGTTTTTAGTCTAGAATGACTATAAATGCTACACAGAAATCTATGTCACTGGGGAGATGATGCAGTTCTTGCTGACTAATTTTTTAAAATAAATGCTGTCTTTAAAACTCACTTTATGCCAGATCTCTTTTTAAAAAATATATCTTATTGATTTTTTTCAGAAAGGAAGGGAGAGGAATAGAGAGTTAGAAATATCAGTGAGAGAGAAACATGTGCCCGCTACCAAGGTACATGCCCTTGACTGAAATCAAACCTGGGACCCTTTAGTCCGCAGGCCGACGCTCTATCCACTGAGCCAAATGGGTGAGGGTTGCCAGATCTTTTATGCATTTGCTAGGTTTCCAAGGCATTTTATCAGACTGGTAGGATAGGAGCTCTGGGATATGGATTATCAAGTTGGAAGGAAGAGATGCTGATAGCTGCTGCCTGTAAGACAATACCCTGCTTAGAACCGTGGATTTCTCCTAGAGAGATGAGCTGCCAGTACTCACATAAGTGAAAGGGATAGCCAGGCTGCCAATACCAGCCTGTCTCTGGTGAAGGATAGCTGTGTGCTTCCCTTCTCCCTCTCACTGACCATCCCCACCCCTCACAAATCAAAGGACTCTCAAAGGTTAGCTCTCCAGCACTTTTAACTGTATCCCTCTGTGCCTTAATTTATCTACTGTAAAATAATAATAAACTTATTTCAAAATACTTTTGAGGTTTAGATCATTAATATATGTAAATTGCTAAGGGTAGTGCCTTGGGTATAGAGTTTGACACTGCATCGATGCTTGCTATTATTATTTGTAGTAAATCACCAATCATCTCTAGGCATCTACCTTACATTGTATTCCAGGTAAAAATTACCCCTTTTCCTGCTCATGTCCCAGGAATATTGAAAGGATAAAGTTTCTATGTAAAATGCCAGCAACTGTCTGGAGAGAATTTATCTTTTAAAGTGAATAAATTTCTTCAAGTACTTTTGTAGACAATTTGTGTCCTAGCTCTGTAGGCTCCTTGAACATGGACTAGCTTGTTCTCAAGAGACAGTGGATATGAAAGTATCTTATGATCTATGGGAAGGAAAAATTCACTAATTATTATTACATCACTCTGCTACCACTTGCCATCACACAATAACTTACTACACAGTAGATTCTCATCAAATATCTGCTAAATGTGATATATTTTTATTAAATCTTTCATTTTTCACAAGGAATAGCTGAGCCACCCTAGATTCTCATCTTTCTTTATAATAAAGACAGCACTTACATAAAGTAAAATGAAACCTAAGTCACTGAAATGGTGCAAATCATTTAAACAAACCTGTAAGCCTATTATAAAAGGTGACCTCTGAAGAGGAAAGTCCTTTAAAGAAGAGAATTGCATGTTTTTGTCAGTTTTTTATTTTATTTTATTTACCCTTAACCTTCAGTTTAAATGGTGGGGATTTCAACATGAGGGATTTTCTCTAGTTTTCTGCTGAAACCTAGAAAAGGAGACGAGCCAAGAGAACAGCATGTGTTTGGTTTTCACAGCTGGCAGCTGGCAGCTGGATATAATAACCTGGAATAAAGGAGGAACAATAGCAATTTTTAGTAGTGAAGACTGTTTTTCTTCAAGCTTTTTCAAAGTATTGTCATGAGCTATGTTTAGAGAAAGCATAGGAAGTATTTAATAATTCTTCTGGGTAAAAGTACAATGAAGCAAAAGGCAAACATCCTTCAGCTGATGTCATCTGGCTGGTATGGGATGCAGTATTTACAGGTCAGAACGTTATCTACAGTGCAGCTGGCAGAACTCCTTCCAATTCCCTCAGTGGTGATCCTGCTTTCCATGCAGGTACTACAGGTGGAGGATGTGTTCCTGCGGGTTGATTTTGGCCCAGAATGTCAAGGCCTTTTTCAAGGCAGCGGTAAGAGACTGGGCCTTAGCGCTGGGTTAATCAGTTCTATACCCTACCTAGCCCCACCAGTAACAAAGTGGGTATCTTGACTCATCTCAATGAATTCCAAGTTAGCTTTTAAAAATGGGAAAGAACCCGGCCAGCGTGGCTCAGTGGTTGAGACATCGACCTATGAACCAGGAGGTCACTATTCAACTCCTGATCAGGGCACATGCCCAGGTTTCTGGCTCAGTCCCCAGTGTGGAGCATGCAGGAGGCAGCCGATCAGTGATGCCCTCTCATCACTGATGCTTCTATCTCTCTCTCTCTTCTTCCTTCTTCTCTGAAATATATATATACATGGAAAAGAAAAGAAAAGATAAAAATCTGTCCCTGCAAAAGTAAAGAGGCTTTGCAATGTGGTATGTTTAAAGTACATTAACTGCGTAAAAAGAAAAAAGAAAACATTAGAGCAATAAGATTGAAATGCTAATAACTGTTGTTAGATTCTATTAGTCTATTCATACAATGAACCTTGTAAAAAATATTATGTACAATTTAACCTGGATTATGCCGCTTTTCCTATCTTTCAAAATTGATAAGAATCCCTTCACCAAGTATTTGACTCCCAAACATTAAGGCCAGCCCTGAGGCAACCTAATAGACTATTTATTTCATAATTTGTTTATATCCCCAAAGTAAAAACTCCCATTACACTGCTCACACTTCCTGCTGTTATAGGGCCCGAGACCTGCTTCCTGTTGATAAGTTTTAAGAGCTGGTTCAATATCCTCAGGAAAAGAAATAGCTCATTGTGTACCCTGGGGAACTGGGCCTACCGGGAAAGGCCATGTTCCTCGTTTCAGTTTTCCTGCAATTGCTTCAGAATTACCTAAACACACAAGAGCCTAGACAAGGTCTTCTCTTGCTGAAAAACCAATTCAGGGGGCGCTGCCCTCTCTGATTCTCAATGGGAAATTGATCGCAGCAACTCATATTTTCCAATGAGTGTTATAATTATTTTGTATTCTTTTTATTTCTTTTTTAATTTATTGACTTTTTAGAGAGAGAGAAAAACATCCGCTTTATTTGTGCACTCTCTGGTTGCTTCTTGTACGTGCCCTGATCAGGGATTGAACCCTCGACCTTGGCATATCGGGATGGGGATGATGCTCTAACCAACTGAGCTACCTGGCCAGGGCTATGTTTAAAATTGTTTTAAAGTGTGGAGAGAATGTTGTGCCATACTCCTTTTCTGTTTTTGGAAATATTTGCTCATATTGTGATCAGTATTGTGGGCTTTACTGTACAGATGAGGGGGTTATTGAGGGCAAAGACAGAGAGAAATAGCTCAAGAACAGCCAACAATGTCAAACAAATGCTTTTATTTTCTTTTTCTTCTTCACTCTCTAAAGCAGGGGTCCTCAAACTATGGCCTGCGGCCCACATGCGGCCCGCCAAAAACATTTATCCGGCCCCCCGGGTGTTTTTGCCACCGCTGCCTGTCCTGCTTAGCAGCTGACTCCCCCGGGGCCGCAGTGCGCATGTGTGGAATGTCTGAGGGACAGTGAACTGGCCCCCTGTTTAAAAAGTTTGAGGACCTCTGCTCTAAAGTGATACTTCCCCTTAGGTTGCAGATTTGGAGATATAATACTATTGAATATAATACTATTCAACACGCACCTTTCAGGCAGGTAAACTTTTTAAAGCAATGTCATCTAAAAAGACTTTTGTCATCCAACCCTGAACACGGGTCAAAACTTGTATGCCCTGTCTCTATTTTACAAGTTAGTCCACAAAGTCATTTGATTTATTCATATTAACTGTATTTTCTTGCTGTAGTAGCAAGATTTAAATAACACTTAACTGCCTAACTAAGGGTCTAATCCACATTTCATATTATGTGCTTACTATGTTACCTGTGTGCATTAAATATCTGCACTCATCATGGAAAATGGTTGGTAATATCCACAGCTCCCCAATGTCGGTGCCTTTCTACAATTTGTTCATTAATGCAGGTCTGCAGAGAAGGTTGCTTATGCTTGTGTGTGCTCCCCTTTATTTTAAAATAACCACTAAATCCCTTTTCCCTCTTTTTGCATATTTTTAATATCCCTTAAGTTTTATATTACAATTTAGACTGTGGAAGTGCCTTCACATTTACCTCATTTCAGCTAATAATAATATCATAAAGAAATTATAAATATCTTCATTTTATACTTAACAAAATAAACTTCTTGAAATAAAGTGATTTTGCAATAATAAAACAAAGGGATCTAAAATTCTCATTTTATGATCACAAGTGCAGTTCTTGCACAACACAATAAATCAACACAAAATTTGTTTAACACTGAAGAAATTTTCTAGCCAATGGACAGAAAATCGGTAATTAGTAATTGATAGGTGACACAGTCTTATGAAAATTAACACAGAAATGTTCTCTTTATTGTATGTTTGCAAACTTCATGTCATTTCACCATAAGATAGATGTTTACTGAAAATAAAACTAAAGAATTCCAGTTTCCACTGTTGAAAAATAAAGATTTATAATAAATTATCCTTTCTAGTGTCAATGCCCTAAAATGGATTTATCTATAAATAAATGAAGTCAAGGTTTATGATGGTGTTCTTTGCAATGACCCCTGTATGGCTGTGCGTATTGTCATCCTGAGAAGGGACACCTCCACACAAAGCCAACTATGTATGTCACAGTCTCTCACTTCCCATGACCTGATTAGATAACTTGCCCCACTACAATTCGGTTTACTCATCTTGAGCCACGTGTTGATGACAAATTTGCTTCAAAGGATTTCATTTTTTACAAAAGCCTTAAAACCATCCTTTGGAAGACAGAATGCATCTCAAAGACTTCTTATTTATCTCAAATAATCAAAGAATCAGTACTCTTGTAGAACCCATACAATGTCTCATAAGGCACAATCAAAACACTTCTATCATATTTTGAAGAGCATTTTCACACTGACTTTCCCCCCAAGTCACAAATTCATTCAAAATCACACACACACACTTCACATTGTTTATTATTATTAAATCTCCAGTACCTGAAAGGTATAAACATGGATCAAATGGAAGAAAATAGGAACTGAAACTAAACTATTCCAGATGCACATAAACAGACTGACTTTTGTTCTGGTTGTCAATCTCTCAGAAAGGAGTATCAGGGATAGTAATTCTGATATGGAACCAAGTTGAGACTATTTCTATCCTAGAAGAAATTTCTAGGAGACAGTCATTGGAATCTTAAATAGACATGGAAAGATATGTTTGTAAAAGTTAAGATTCTAATAAAGAGAATTGGCCAGAGCAGATGGGGGCTCTATCGAGAAACTGAGAAGGAAAAAATAATAAGAACGTAAGCAAACCAAATGAATTAGTTTTGCATTTGTTAGCTCAGTGTACGAAATGACTGCTAATTTCTCTTGGATTCATTGACTGTGGTAGCAAAGGATCTTACGTACATTTAGTTCCTCTGTTTAAGTTTCTCACTCCAAGTATTAAGGAATAAATAGAAACAAAAAAATGGTATTAAATGCTGAGAGAGAAGAACTCTAGAAAGTTATCTCAAAATCCAGAAGGGGGATTACAGCAACCTTATGGATTTCAGGGGCCAGTTGGTGATATGTAATCAGGACTTCTTTGTAACTGGTGCATATGTGCACGAACTTCCAAGCTCAGAAGTATTGGTGATCTTGAGCAGGAAATATGAAAATCCTTCTTGTGCCGGTCAGAGCAATTGCCTTTCCTGATTTTTTTTCCATTTTTCTATTTCTCAGATATCCTTTGCATTGACTTGGCGTGTCTCAGGCTTTTTGCTGAGTTGTTGCATAAACATGGATCGAATGAAAGAGAATAGTTTGGAACCAAACTATTACAAGTGCACATAAAGAGAATGACTTTTGTTCTGATCTTCAGTGTCTCGGAAGGGAGGGAGTACACAGTTGTAGCCATAGCTGGAGAGTCAATCGCCTACATGTAACGAATGATTCACAGACGCTAAGGGAGTCTCTCTAACTTGACTGGGGTCGCCTCTGTTTCACACGCACACCGCCTCAACTCTTCGCAGTTCTTTGAGAAAAACATTCCACTGAGAATGGTCACACAGTCCCCGCCTCCTGGGCTGGTGAAATCTGTTTTAATCTTAAACCTTAAAAAAGAAAAAAGTTAACTTAATGATATTTTATTTATAGAAAGAAATACTAAGCACTCAGAAAGTACATAGGAAATATTCCTAGCTTGATACAATTATAGAATAGATGCCCAGAATGATTTTACTGGAAAGATAAAGTCAACAACCACTTTCTTTTCAGCCCCTCAGTTTCCATGGTCATTCTTTGAAGCATCAAGTCAACCCAAACAACAAAAACTATTTCTATCTAAAACTATGGTACATGTTATGATCCAACTTTAACATGTACTTTTACAGCCATCTGAAAAATTACCTTCTCTGTGACTCAGTTTATTTAACTGTAAGATAAAAGTGATTAAGTTGTATATTTCCCATTTCCTACAATTTTATTAACACTTTTATCTGTCAGCCTCAGGACATCCTTCTACAAACATAGTATCCAATACAAAGGAGATGTTCAGTTAATGCTCATTGAACCAATTTGTTGACCTGACACTCTCTATTACATGTCTTTCCCACAAAATATTCTGAAGGCTTACAGTTCAGAAGTGTAAGATGCTCCATCCACCCACAGCCAGGGCTTGTCACTGCCGTTGCGGGATAGCCCTATCCAGTAAGAGTAGAAAAACTCAGAGTAGCTCTGAGGCATGGCAAACTGCTGCAAAGGCACACAAGAAAACGTTCAGCTTTTAGAGATATTATAATACATATATATACACTAGAGGCCCAGTGCATGCACTGAAAATGCATGCATGGGAGGGGGTGGTCCCCTCAGCCCGGCTTGCCCTCACAGTTCAGGAGCCCTCAGGGGTGGGAGGTGACCCGGCAATCAGGGGATGGCGACACCCCATCACACCTCTGCTTCTGCCACTGCTGGCAGCGCAGGCCTCAGCCAGCCCTGGTTACCTGAGCCTCGGGCGGCCCTGGGTGGCTGGGCAGCCTCCATCCGAGGCTTGCCTGCATGTCGGGCCAGCCCTGGGCAGCTGAACGGCTGAGAGGACTGAAGGACTCTGGCCTTGTCGTGTGCCTGCTGCCCCGGCGGGGCTGAGGGGACTGGGCACAGTCATCTTGTGGCTGTGGGCGCCGCCATCTTTGAGGGTGTGGCAGCAATTAGCATATTCCCTCCTATTGGCTGTGGGCGCCGCCATCTTTGAGGGTGTGGCAGTCAATTAGCATATTGCCTCCTATTGGCTGTGGGCGCCACCATCTTTGAGGGTGTGGCAGTCAGTTAGCATATTCCCTCCTTAATGGCTGTGGGTGCCGCCATCTTTGCGACAGTGTGAGGGTCAATTAGCATATCCCCTCTTTATTAGATAGGATATATCTACAGAGATGTGTAGTGGCAGCCAACACTTTTAATATGAGAACAAGACATGACTCTTGCCTCACATAGATAATAATCCATTTAAGAGGAAAGCATCTATGCTAAGATCAGTTCATTTGTTCGGGCATGGGAGATTACTGATATTTTGAAACAGAGAAGCACATCAAACAAGATTTTAAAGTGACCTGTTATTTTCAAGTCACAGGGTAAGACACATAAAAAAAAAAAAATACAGGAGGCAGATTTACAAAGAGATGTGAAGTAATTCTGGGAAATGGAAGAAAAAAAATGCAGGAATGGGGAAATAACTTTTAGAAATAAACATTGAGAAAAACATCCAGAAGCAACTGACCAAAAGGAGAGAAAAGCACTTCCTGGTGCCCCCATTCATGCGTTTTTATCACACCATTTGCCCGTTTCACTAGTCCTCCCAGGCTATTCAAGTTTTGGCTTTGGTGACCACCACACCTCACTTCTCAGTCCCTGTCTAGCAGGCCTGCTCGGAGGCCGTGACCCTGCCTGCCTGGGGTTTCTGCATTTAGCCCCACGGCCTCCCCCAGAGTGTCCAGGGAGCAGCTTGCCCACAGTTTCCCCAACGTTTAGGCTGAATCCTCACATAAGGATTTTTTTATTGATTTTAGAGAAAGAGGAAGGAGGAGAGAGAGAAACGTTGATGTAAGAGAGGAATATTGATCCGTTGCCTCCTATATGCTCCCTAAATAGGGATCAAACCTGCATCCTAGGAATGTGCCCTGATGGGGAATCAAACACAAAACCTTTAGGTGTAGGGGATGATGTTCTCACCACCTAAGCCACCCAGCCAGGGATCATACATATACTTTTAAATACATGCACATATATATGTATAAATTGATATAACTCCCTGATTGAAATAAGTGGGAGAGTCTGTGGACCTTGACTCCTTAGATGATTCTCCCTTAAAGACATCTTTTTGAGAATACTTCAAACATTGACCAAAACTCAGGACCTTACCAGCACTTCTTGTGTGTTTATCTTCAGCATGGTTGAGTTTTCAGCAATACAGAAAGAGTCACAGTCCTGCCAACTCTTGCTCTTTTTATAGAACTGGTAGCATTTGTCCCCATGCCATTTCCAATTTTCTGGGCAAGGGCTACATCTATGTTCTTGGAAAGAAACCAATTTTAAGAAGTTATTTTCTACATAGATCTGTTTTCTTGCCTCTCTTGAAATTATATAGTATTTGATGACCCAAGAAAGAATGAATTCCCTTTCTCTCAGATATTATTTGCCGAGGCAATGATAACTACAAATGTTTACCTAGCACCAACTATGCCAAGAATTTTAATTGGTCCTGAGTATACAGTGGAAATTAAAACACACACTACCTTCTTTCATGGATATGGAATCTAACAATGAATGATTGGAACTTCCTTGTTCCTTGCCCTGTGTAATTTAGCACACAGAGAGGATGTCCAATACATACAGAACTTTTCATATGTTCAGGAACTCAACATATATTGTACTTAAGAAACAATTGAAGTTTTAATAATTTTCTTCTTCAAAATCCTGTTATATAATAGGAAATGGGGTTTTTTTTAATGCAATATATATCAATAGGGTATGAACCCTTTTTCCTTCTAAACACAAATAAATAAAATTTTAGAAAAAAAATACTTAAATACTTAGCCAAGTATGAATTAGAATGGTAAATATCCATGTATCAGAAGTTGAGATGGGCATCGAAGTTAGAGAATTAAGTACGGAGGTCAAGGGTGAGATGAACTACTGGAGGTAGTGGTTGTAAATATAGGAACTAAGCCCTGACAGCTATATCTATGTGGGAACATGGCCTTGGCCTCTGAGGGTTGGGCACCTGTAACCGAGTCCCTTATTGGTATATGGTAGGATGGAAACTCAATAATTCTATAAAAATGTCTTTATTTTCAAGACAATCCAGTGCCAAAATCTGAGTGGTCAATACAAATAGATATTATATTATTGTTTGTATTTTTCTGTATACTAAAAATATTTCATAAGGTAAAACAAAGTTTCAAGTATTTGATGACCCAAGAAAGAATGAATTCCCTTTCTCTCAGATATTATTTGCCGAGGCAATGATAACTACAAATGTTTACCTAGCACCAACTATGCCAAGAATTTTAATTGGTCCTGAGTATACAGTGGAAATTAAAACACACACTACCTTCTTTCATGGATATGGAATCTAACAATGAATGATTGGAACTTCCTTGCTCCTTGCCCTGTGTAATTTAGCACACAGAGAGGATGTCCAATACATACAGAACTTTTCATATGTTCAGGAACTCAACATATATTGTACTTAAGAAACAATTGAAGTTTTAATAATTTTCTTCTTCAAAATCCTGTTATATAATAGGAAATGGGTTTTTTTTTTAATGCAATATATATCAATAGGGTATGAACCCTTTTTCCTTCTAAACACAAATAAATAAAATTTTAGAAAAAAAAATACTTAAATACTTAGCCAAGTATGAATTAGAATGGTAAATATCCATGTATCAGAAGTTGAGATGGGCATCGAAGTTAGAGAATTAAGTACGGAGGTCAAGGGTGAGATGAACTACTGGAGGTAGTGGTTGTAAATATAGGAACTAAGCCCTGACAGCTATATCTATGTGGGAACATGGCCTTGGCCTCTGAGGGTTGGGCACCTGTAACCGAGTCCCTTATTGGTATATGGTAGGATGGAAACTCAATAATTCTATAAAAATGTCTTTATTTTCAAGACAATCCAGTGCCAAAATCTGAGTGGTCAATACAAATAGATATTATATTATTGTTTGTATTTTTCTGTATACTAAAAATATTTCATAAGGTAAAACAAAGTTTTAAACAAGTAAGTAATTTAGATTTCTTTGTAAGTCAGTTTGTATTTCTGGCCTAGACCTTATCTCTTGTATACCAAACTAGCTATCCATATCTCCACTTGGAAATCTAGATTATATTTCAAATACAACCTACCCAAAATGGCATTCATGGTTTCTAACCTTCCCTTTTATAACCACAGAATTCTTCCCCATTTCACTTGATCACATCTCTATGCTTCTAC